CGTCTGCGCTGCCACGTCATCCGATCCGACGGCTGCTGGCGGGGCGTTGGATGTGAGGTCGGTGGACCGGAGGACGAGGATCCTGGCCGTCGATGGCGGGATCGCGATGAACAATCCGACGGCTGCGGCGATCACTCACGTTTTAAATAACAAGCAGGAGTTCCCGCTCTGTAACGGCGTGGAGGATCTTATTGTAATTTCACTCGGGAACGGAGAGTCGGAATTCGGTGCGGGCGGAGTCACTTCTTCTCCTGCGACTGCGGGGCTGCTCAGGATCGCCGGCGAAGGAGCTTCCGACTTGGTAAGAATATATGAATTTTATTACAAGCATTAAAATATTATCTTCTTTTTCTTTTTAGTGCTGAAATTATAATATTATATTTCAAACACATTTTCTGTAATAGTTCAATAAAGGATATAGTAAATTATGGTATTTGCAATAATTGCACAAAATGCTAAATTAGTATATGCATTGTAATGGTTGGGGGGACCATGATCAATGGAGCACCTAATGTTATAAATTTAATTTGATTATTTTATTTATCTTTTATTTAAAAAAAGAATTTGTCGGTTGGGGATTATTGTTGTAGAAAAATATTGAGATAGATGCCTCTTTGTCCTTTCCATAAAAAAAAAAAAAAAAATATATATATATATATATATATATACCTTTTATACCTCTTTGTCCTTTGTGCAGCCAGAAAAGGCATATATATTATTGTATTTATATATTTTTCCTTTAATAATACAATTATTTCAGTAGTGCATGCAATGATTTCAGAGTTAAATACAATATAAATCTAATTATTTGGATTTCTTTTTATTTTGATATTATAGGTGGATCAGGCGGTTTCTATGGCATTCAAAGAGTGTCGTACAAATAATTTAGTTCCGCATCAGGTAAATTTCTCAAGCTTCTAATATAAAAATAATTAATTTTGACTTTTTTTGTTTTTAAATGGAGCCATATTTACCTTTTTTTCAATAAAATAAATCCAGAATTCTAATTCCGATTTAAAAAATATATATTTCAGGGGAACGGCATTATAGCTAAAAACCAAGGTGGTAATTGGGAAAATGCACAAGTGGCCAACAAGAAGGTAGACATCTTGGCAGAAACAGAAAATATGTTGGCACAAAAAAACGTGGAGTCCGTACTATTCCAAGGGAAGAAAATAGTTGGGAACTCAAATTTGGAGAAAATAGAAATTTTCGCCGGAGAACTCGTGAAGGAACAAGAGAGAAGGAAAACCAGCATTTTACCGACGGTGGCCTTGAAGCAGATGTCACCATCTCCCAGAACATCCTCTGCAACAACTCTCTCCACACTATCCTCCAATTAGTTTCGGAGAAAATTAAAAGAAAAGGAAAATATTATTGTGGTCAAGTTTAGTTTTTTTATTTATTTATTTTTTTAATTTGTTAAAAATATAGTAAATCTAGTCTAGTTACTAAAATGACTCTTTAGAGTCCGTTTTGTTGATATTAATACGCTGCCGCTCGGATGAATAACAAAGGCATCCGAGTCTGAGCTGCTGAGTTCATATTTTTTTTCACTTTTTTATTTGGTTGCTATTCATTGAGTGCATTATATTTATATGTATTGTTGTGTATATGGAATGATTGTGAAAAGGGCATTTGGTGCCAAGTTTAAATTAAAGCTTCAATTGCACTTTGTGTATCTCATTATACTCCTTTTTTTTTTTAATCTTTTTTCTTTCTAAATAAAAGAAGAATTAATAGTGTCTTTGCATCTCTAATTTAGTAGTCACCTGATAATTTACTGAGACCGTAAGTGAAATAGAAAGAAATCTTATCCATACAATGAAATATTATCTATACTTTCATGTACTAGCATACAGAAAGTCCAAAGTTACATTAAACCGAACAATGTTTGACAGGTTGATAAGAGGTATCATTTCAATTTCACAATTAATATTGAGAATCATCACCAAATGATAAGTGAGAGAGCCATGATAAATCACTTCTTGCTGCTACTTCTTCCGACTAGAAACCTGTACTAAAAGGAGTCCGTATTTGATCCTACTATGCCCTAAGGTTCTTCTTTTCTTGCTTTAACTCATATTCAAAATCATTTCATGACTTTGAAAATAACCTTTTGATTAATCTTTCAGTATTTACCATTAACAATGATAAAATTGCAAATTGTTCCGACTGGACAACTTTATTTAGATGCGTAAAAATGAGTGTACACTTAAATATTCTCAATTTTCTTTTCAATCTTTTTTTTGTGAGTCCTACATGCATGTACTTTTTGTCATATAAATGTGAAATAAGTATATAGTTTTGGGTCCGTTTAGATCGCTGATTCGAATTTTTAATTCGAGTTGAGATGTGACTTTATATGAGAGCTTTGTACTGTAATAAAAAAGTTAAATGTGATTATTTCTGAGAGTTTTTTACTGTAACAAAACTCGAATCGGTGAAATAAGCAGGGCCTTAATGCCAAACTAGTCAGAATCATTCCCATAGCCTGAAGCTTGTTCAAATGGTTGTGGCTTGTGCCTTGTGGGGCAAGGAAAATACGAATATTAAATTTCAAATAAAGCAGCAAAGAAAATCGAGGCTAGTTTTATGCTTTTCTTTATTGAGCTTGGGCTTTACCCTTTTGCATTTGGACCGAATGAAGGTTTTCATTAAAGAATCATTATGGAATATTGGCACTTTAATGAGGTTGGCGGCCTTTAGATTCAATTTTCATGAGGTCCCAAAGTTAAATTCAAAGGTGAGGAGTACAAAATTGAAATAAAAATGAGGCACAAAAAATTGAATAGAAACAGAATTCTATCCCCCAACAGTTTACAAACGGACAATAGCCTCTTTCCATAATGAGAAAATCGTTACACAAAACATTATACTAATGTGTTGAGCTAGTATTAATTGAGAGATTTACACTTGTAAACTCTGGTTTTTTTCCAAAAGAAAAAAAATTAAGGAGAATTAAGCTAACAATTTTAAAAATTCAATATGACCCCTTTAAAAAATACATACAAATATTGCATGATTAGGCATGTCCTTTCTCTCTCTCTAATCCACCAAATGTGAAGCTACCACAACAGCAAAAGTTTCTTCGTAATTGAAATCCAATATAAAAAGTTTTTTAGCGATTGAAAAACCAATATAAATTCATATAAAAATGTGTAACGGCGTGATTTTAGGGAGAGACAACTTCCCTTTAAACCAAAGTTACAAACTTAAACTTCATATAAAATCACGCCGTTTCATATTCACTGTCCAAATTAAACACATTTCAAGCTAGAGCCATGACTAAAACTGGGGCAAAAGGAACCATGATTATGATGAATATCAATATGGTATTTGTTGTAGTGTAAAAATTCCAAACCCTAATCTGAGCATTAGATGGGATTCATATATCATAAATAAGGGTATTTAATGATGGGAACAACTTTGTCCTAACTGCCACATCAAACGAAGGTTGCCCTAACTGCCACATTTTAGGAAAATTCTTTTAGGAGCAGAATGCAAACAAAGCAGAAAATGTTTAAAGGTGGTCAATCGCTCCTAGTGGTCGAGAGAAACAAGAAGTCGACTGCATCGGCAGTCGTATGCGGAGATAGCTCATAGAATGCTCAGGAAGTCGAGCTTATGTGGATCGAGAGACATACAGAGTATGTTACGAGATATGTGATTTGTAATTAAAATAAGCGAAGTCAGTGGGAAGTAAGTGAGAAAATTCTGCTGATTGGCATAAATCCCAACCAACCAGGGATGTTATCCAAAAATGTGGAAAAATATCCCATAACAAAATAATGGGATTTACAGAGATTTTAGAGGGTATATATGTAGAAATGACGAGTCTAAAACGACAATTTTTTCTGTAATCATATTCTTGAGAACATAGTGAATTTCTATTCTCCTCACAATGTAGCTCTTGAACAAAATGGTGAACCACTATAAATCTGTGTTCTTTATTTCTGATTGTTTTTTAATCTTTCTAAAATGCTTCATGGATCATTCAAATCACGTTAATCATCTTTAAATTTGAATTAATTCTGTTAACAAATTTTTACCGTCAACACTATTCATATTACTACTTTTAATTACGGGAGAAGTATTAGTTAATTCAGCTGATCCTTTTTCCTTAATCTCTCCTCCATTTACTCCTACCACATTATTAGATAAATATGGAAGAACAAACTATCGTCGTTTCATTGACAGAAGAAGGAGGAAAAGCTCACGTAATCGCAAAAATAAGTCCACCCGTTTTCCTCCTCCCCCAGGAAAAAGCAAGATTAATCCTCAATCTCACAAACCCGACAAAGTTAGATTATTTTGAGCAGCAAATTAAGTAAATCCCAATTGAACATTAATCACAAAAGCACAAATTCGTTTTCTTTGAGGTGCGCACCAAGAGTAGGATGGGAAAATTAAGGATTTATTCTTTTGGATCAAAACTCAAAAAAAATTTGATCTCAAATTATAATTTTATTTAAGTTCACGTTCTTTTATAAAATTTAAATTTAAACTCGAGTTTTAACTTGAGTTTAGAGTTAAAATTTGAGTTCAAGTTCCCACTTCAACTCAAGTTTGAAACTCAAACTCAAGTTAATATAAACAATATTTTTTATATTCTTAAAAATACCATAACTTTTTTATTTTAATTCTGATTGAGATGATTTTTTTTATACGTTCACAACAAAGAGGCGAATAAAACCCCATCCATATACCCTATTAAAATTTTTCATTGCCATTGAATTTTTATTAAAATACTATATAAATACAAATTCAAGTTTTGACTCACTCAAACACAAACTCAAATAGATTCTCAATTCAAACCATAACTCAAAAGTGCACATCCAAATACAAACTCAAGTTACAATTTCAACTCAAGTTATAACTCAAATTCAACTAAAGATTTTAAATTCCCTAAAAAATTAAAGAAAGATAGGAAAAATTATTTTATTTATATGTGTAATTGTTCACAATATTCGAATGTTAAGGCCATCTTTCCATTTGCATTATTCTCATGATTAACGTTTCTATTTTGCCAGATCTGATAGAAAGGCTTAAGGTAATTCTCCATAATAATCGCGAGAAAGATTGTTGCATATGTTCTAGCAGTCAATGACAATATTTTGATTTTGAAGCACGTACGACATCTCGTTTGTCCCTGTGAAAATGATCGGCTTCATCAAGATTTTTCTATCCAGCTAAACTGTAGAGAGAAGGATCTTTCTAATAAGTGTTAGTTTGTGTGTGTGTATATATATATATATATATAAGAATTTCCTGTTGTTATATTAATTAATGTCTAATTAATTATATTATCATGTAAAAATTTTAAATTGCTTGTTAATTAACTCTTTTAATTTAATTGGTTCGAGATCAATTAAAACACTAAAATTATACAAAATTTGAATCCGTATATATGTGTTGTTTTAATCGCGGACTTTTCTAATTATAAGTAGTTATTTCTTTCCCT